CCATCTCTACCCCATAGCCACCATTTTAGAAAAAATAGCCTAGCATTACAATTCAGTCATCTTTAGCTTAATGATTCACATGGTTTAATACGCTGCCAACACATCAACATATACAATATGTGTTTAAACATGGATACTTTTTTTTTTTTACATGCCAACCGATATAGCTGACATCTAGAAAATGTACTTTGACAAGCAAAAAACGTTTTTTTGTAAAAATGTTTACTTACCAGACCACAATGAGTATCTCTCTTTCACAGGCAATGAGAAATCGGTGGAGCTTGCATAATTTCTGGTCACTTGATTACAACTATAAGTCGTTGCCTGGTTACAGGGGGTGGTTCAACTTACCCACTGGCTCAATTTACCCCCTTCTCCCCTATGGCTCTGTTTACACAAATTGAAATTATTTTAACATTCCTTATTTGCATTGGTTAATGTGATATCTGTTGCAACGTGTAAATGAGAAACCCAGTTCTCCTGAAATGATCAAGGGATTAACAGAAACCTAGTTAACGCATATAGAAAAACCTGATCATTTGACCCCTTTCTTTTAAAGCTACATTTAAACTGTACGTTAAAAGCCATGACTGAACAGTTTGTACACATCTGCAAAGTAAAAGAAAAAACTGTCTGTCTCTTTACCAGGGACTTGAACAAATAATTCAACGTGTTTTGAGGTACATAAACATTTTAAGGGGAGAAACCAAATCATTGGAAATTGTAAATGGATTGTAAGTGTAAGCGCATTATCAATGGTGTTGCTTTAGCCTTGTTTAATTAACCCTAAAACATCCTATTGTTCCCCTGTAAACACCATTTCACACACGTAAACACACTGAGGAAAAACAAAAACACTAAGCCAATCGGTTTTCCGTCTTGCAGAATCGGCTGCAGGCAAAACCAGTTTGGCTCAGCAGCACATGACCTAGAAAGGAAAGAGCTGATTGTTAAAAAGGAGGGAATGAAAGAAAAAAGAGAAGAAAAAAGAGTAAGAAGAAGAGGATGGTAAAGTTAGTTTTATAGCTGCTGTCAGACTGAAACTCAACGGGACACCTCGCCAGTCAGCTTCTTTAAAACACACACACACATACCCACACACACACTCCTTTATTTCACTTGGGTTGTTAACATTGCTAAAACTGCCATTCAGTTAATTCTCATGTATTGTAGATCTTAGCTTGTGGCTTAAACACTAACAGAGATTTGAATCCCATAAGGGCTTGTTATACTAATAGTGTAATGTAATAATGCCATGTTTAATTTGGAAATAAAGCAGCTGGCAGACATTCAGTGTCCAAAATAATGCGTCTTAATGGCTTGTAATTTCATGTAGTGCTTTTTCAGTGACTGCAGATTAAGCAGTAATGGGATTCTAAAGCCTTAGCCACTCATGTTCTAATACATGAACACTTTCGTTAATCAGAATCGAGATTTTACAAGAGGTTGGCAAGACACAGAAAATAGTTATGTCTGATTGTAGAAGAGGGGATCATTTCAAACCATTGTTGGATTTCCTCCCTAATTAAGCTCTGGTTGAAGTACAACTCTAAAAGTTGGTGGAAATCCCAATAGAAGGTTTTTGTGGTGTTAAAAAAATCTGAATCTTGTGAAATAGGGACACTTTTTTGGGATTATGTTGTGAAAAAAAGGTATTTAAAAGAAGACTGGTGCCTCGTTAAAGTTGAAAGTTGCACGGGGTTATGGGTAGCCAAGGGGCAAGCTGTTTGGCTCGGTGCCTGTCCCTTATTAGGCAAAAAAAGGAATGTCCTTTTCCTGGAAACTACAAAGACATGAAAGAAAGAGTTTATCAAAGCCGGTGCGCTGGATCGGTTTCAACCTTTTCGACATTCTGGCAACGGAAAAATGACTTTACAGACTAAATAAATGGCTTCCAACTACTTTTAGCTCACTCTCAAATATTTGAAGCGGACGGTGTAGTGGCAATTTCTTATGTTACCTTATATGGTAAAACCAAATGCTTCTAAAAGCATTGTCTACTGTACCATTTCTTGATATGTGCTGTTTTCTCTGCATACTCTAATGAGGGTTATTATTCTCAAGCGCTTCAAGGCCACAGAGCTGATTTGGCAGACTATGTTGAAACTACTCCTCTTCACACAAAGTTTGAACTTCCATATTCTGATAACCGTCATACTCAAACAGCTCAAGGACACAGGTGTCTCATAGCGATATGAGACATCTGTGTGAAAGCAGGTTTCTGAGGCGTTCCGCCTAGCTACCCAAAACTCTGTCTGCCCGCCCTATCTTGTATATAAGCTTTGCCATTCTGTGACTATTACGCACACTCCTGCAGACTATCCTATACTCTGTGAGACCTGTACCTTTGAAGCTTCAAATAAATAACCAACAAGACAACGCTGTTTGCTTTCACCAGTTTATTATTGATTACTCTCATTGTACATCTTTACTGTATTGACGAGTTTAAAATATCCACGACAACGGTACAGCCTCTTGAGGCATATTTTCGGTTTGTGATATTGGGCTATATAAATAAACTTGACTTTACTCAAAAGTTACAAGGATATGGGTCACAGTTCAGTTTGTGGCTCGAAGGAGAGTCTGTAAAAGGCCTCACAATTGATCGAAGGCCAAGTTGCAAATTCAAAAAGTTTGTTGTGTCTAAAACCCAAAAGTTCTTTGTTTAAAATCACAGAAGACAAAAATGTTAACCGATGGAGAAGCCGGAAACTGAATTTTTAATTAACATAATCCCTTAACTATAGTTGATAAGCTTGTTTCTATATGAGCTTTTAAATGCAGTGTTCAGTGTTTCCCCTAGGATGGAGTCATAGCAGCGGTGCTAAGGCACGTGAGCCCAGCGTAATGTGAGCGTGGAGCGCGTGGAATTTTTTAGTGTGTTCACGTGCGAAGTGCGCCCCGCCAATTTGTTTCTATGTGTCTGCCAGCACAAGAAAGGCTCTTGAGGCCTAGTACCAGGGCCGGTTCTAGACAATTTGCTGTCATAGGTGAGATTTAAAAAAAATTCTTCAATCTGGTGCACTTTGAGCACACAATTACTAGAGACTTGATCTAGGGGGTACAACTCTAAACACCCATATGAAAAAGACCGGTTTACATTTTAATAATCAAATAAGTATATGAACATAACCAATAACCTACCATAGCCAATAACAAATAAATGTAGGTTATTTTATTTTTGTTGTTCATTCGTATCTTATTTTACCTAGTTAACATTTATTTATTTATGCATATTTTTTTCCAACTGTAAACGATATTTTAGGATTACTGTCCTATAGTATACATTGGAATGATTTCAAACCTGTTTGTATTTATCCTAATAATCATAAAGGAGTGCCTTGGAAATATGTGTTTACATAAATTGTGACCAAACCGTTTGAACTTAGACTAAAGTTAACCATTTAAACACTCAAGAGTCCTTTACCTCACTGAGCTGTAGTTATCAGCCTCTCAGTCTGACTGGAGAGGACTCTCCGGCCTCCACATTATTGTAGAAACATCTTCTTCTTATATCCGTTAGAGCAGCTAGCACCAGATTCTAATAACAACAGTGCCAGTACCGGTGCACCCTCCCCGCTCACTCGCATTTTGGCTATGAGCTGCGGGCGCCAGATAAGCCAACATCCCCCATTTTCATCACTTAAAGTGCCCATCGTACCGGGCAAATGAAACGTGTAACTGGGGTGAAAAGGGTGTTACATTTACTTAATTATGAATGTTGTTAAATCAAGGCCGAAAATTAGGATGAGCGCCAACGGTCAAAATAGTTTTTTCCCTCCCAGAGCTACCAGCGCAGCGCCCCCCAGATCTGGCGCCCTAGTACATACAGTGGCAATGTCTCAAGACAAGAAAAAATACACCTTTATTGAACATACAGTAACACAAATACTACAAATCCACATAACAAACAATCAAACATGAAAAAGGGTCGCCACTTATTATTATTTTAATAAAAAAAAGTAAAAGCAGCGCCCCCTAGCAGCAGTGTGCATATTTCAGCAGCTGCGCAGCCACTATTTGTATATAGGGGAAACACTGGTGTTTCATGACGAGATGTAAAGAAACGCTCATTTGAAATTGGGTTACTATAATAGTAATCACATTACAGGCTCCTACAAGATCTTTTTTGTTTTATTTTTATACATTTTTTTTTCATGATGTTTGATCAGTAACCCTTTGATTTTAATAAAATAGCTATTTAATATTGGTGGATGAAGTTCCTGTGTTTGGCCACGTTTAATTAGTACAAGTGAAAGACACCCTGGATAAAAAGGTTTCCGCAAAACAGCAAACCAAACGTTTTAGCTTTTCTTCTCCTGATGACTAAAAACCCATCTGTTTGGATGCACCTTATAAATAAAAAAACAAAACAATTCTCACTTATTTGAAGCCAATGCAGTAAAACTTATAATGGTTTCGGTTCCCATTTCAAAGTGTGCGTATTTGCAGGATTCTATTTGAGTTTGTATCTTCATTCATTCAAAGTAAGTCGCTTTGGAAAAAAGCTAAAGAACTTTGGAATTTAAAATATAGAATAAAAACAATGACATAAACACAAGAGAATGTAGGAGTTGTTGGAAACAGCTGGTCTCATTCTAACCCTGTTCTTGTCTTTTTGTCTCTATTCTTTCTTGTGTTCTTTCTTTATTTCTGCAGACTTTGAGGACCTGTTCGATGACGATGACCTGCAGTGATGACCTGGTGTGTTTCTGTGAAAGTGTACATAAAGAAATCAACAAAATGGGCTTAGTCTGACCAAAAGATCTCTCTCATTTGTACAGAACCCTTTTCCCACATGTGACCCACCACCATACTGAAATAAAGACTTTGTTTTTACAAAAGAAAAGCTGTCTTGGTAAACCAGGTGTTTGTGAATTCTGAAGTTCGCTTACATTCCAGCTTCGGAGAAAATTATGAGTATGGTTTTGGCGTCGTCGTGTTTGAATCTGTTACCGGCTGGATTGTAGGTTTGTGGTCTGGGAGAAACACCTGTTAGCAAACCTAATTACATACGAGATACAGTGTTAACATGGCCACTAAATGTTCAGTTAGGGCACGATGGGACAGGAGAGGGGCTGCGAAAAATGTGGGAATGCTTGAAAAACAAATACAGAGCCAAAAAAAAAACATTCAGTTTTAAACATTACATTTATCATGAACAGGGAAAATGGTAAAGCTGTAATTTGACTTGACTTATATGTGCCTTCAACTGTTGTGAACTTTAAGAGTGCAATCTCACTTTTGACTTTCTCCGAGGTGTTGCAAGCCCAAATAAACCAGCTGCATGTGTAGGTTTAGAGGAAAATATAACATTTAAGTATAATGTGTGTGCGCACGCTTCTGCATAACAATTGTAATATATTGCAAAAAGTACCAAAGAGACTGTTTTGTGCAGGTGATGACAGTTTAAAGATGTTACAGTCCATGGCCAAAGGTATGATACACCCATTACAGTGGGACATATTTTTGAAAACATCTCACAATTTATGAGCCTGTTTGCTTCCATTCAGCCACAAGAGCATCTCATTCTAGTTTATCCGAAAAAGTGCTGGAACAAGATGGTGATGTCACAAATGTCCGTATGCAAACATTTTTTTCTCAATATTTTAATCAATAGCCCACATTCTGTTCTTGAGTTTTAAACTTTAAAAAGGTCATCTTCAAACTTTAAAATCGTATTATTTCTTATTCATTCATGAATAACAGGAATTGATACCAAGTGTTCAGGGGCTTTTAGGTTTTAAGCTCAAACCATTCAAAGCAGCCTCAATACAACAGTCCTCTGACTGCAATTTCACAATCTCATGTGCAAACGTAAAATAGAAAAATAAAAGAAGTCTAGCCCGTGTGTTGCAAGAGCAATTTCTCCCATGTAAGCCACTTTATCTGAGTTTAAATCACTTTTGGTGTGATTAGGGTTAAGGGGTTAGGAAAACTAAATAGACATTTCTATTTCTCCTTAAACTTAATAAAACCTCCTCAGAATCTGTCCTGGACGCAAACATCATAAAGCCACTGAGCGGTACAATGCAATTACAGGCTAATGCGGTCAGATGTGCTGATATTGCATCACACACCGCAGCCAAAAGCCTTTTTCAGAGTCACACTAAAATCAGCCTTTGTGTATGTGTGAGTCTTACAAGGCTGGCATGCCTGGACACAGTTAAAGTGAGGAGGAAACTGTAGATTATCAAATTCCTCATGTGTAGACCAGCTGCCCCTGCATGTGTGTGTGTGTGTGTGTGTGTGTGTGTGTGTGTGTGTGTGTGTTCTGGTTTAGACAGAAGCTGTGGTTTGGCCCTCATTGGAAGCCCTCTGAGAAGTGCTTATGTGGCACCTCAGCCACCCTTCATAATTACCTGATGTTGTCTTTCTTCTGTCCCTTTCTGACTTCTTTTCTTGCTTGGCAGAGATGTAACATTAACAAAAGAATTATCCAGTGTCTGATTTCAAACCTTAACTGTGACATATCATTAATAATCAAGCGTTTTATATTGAAAAACCCCTAAATGAGACAACTTCTACAGAATCTCTCCACGTCTCCACCTCGGCTTCGGACCCTCCCACCTTTTCTCTTTCCCTGTCTTTAATTACAGAGCCTCCAATTGGCTGAAACTTTCGGAAAGATCTAACCAATCACGCATCCTGTTGAGGTGGCCCATGACCCCTTCAGGTGGTGCTTGCTTGCGTTTTTCTGTGAAATTTGTAAGGAACGGGCTTGGTTTAAAACCTTGCCACATCCTTACATGAGGGCAGTCTGTCAGAAGGGCCACAGAGACAGGGTAGACCAGGAACCTCTATCATACCCTCACAAACACACTCGTTGTTTGGACTGAGAGACCCTGTCTGTCGGCTCGAGTCCACCTCTGGATCCGCGGACACAAGATATTTGAAACACAGGTAAGAGACAGGTACACTTCTTTTTACTTATAGGTACTTATTAGGGATCCAAGCTCAGGTTGAAGTCAAGTTTGTCTCCTGAACAACACCTGGTTAACCCCTAGTCCTTGTGGCAACTTGTTTGTTTAAAACCTACAAATCAAAGTTCAGTTCTGAACACTTCACCAGCTCTCCAGGTGAATACGTGCCTGGTCTGGGGTCTCAGGCATTGATTTGACAGGAGATTAAACAGCATTGATTGTTAAGGTTTCGTGGATCTATTGGAGCATCTATTTGGGCTGAGAAGATTTGCCATTAAAAATGCTTCTGGATTGGGAATAAGAGAAACAAGCTTGACTAAAGCATACAAATATTGTTCTACCACCCTAACCTTATCATCATGGCATTAATTAAAAGAACATGTAGAGAAATTTGTTGAAATGCAACGTTGCTGTCATTATGCAACTATGCTCAAATATTGTCCTTAGATAAAAGTCTGTCAAATCAAATGATATAATCAATCTGTTGTGAACAAAGATTTGAAGGCATGATAGAGATGAAGTGGGGTGATTGTGAACATTGATGTGTTTGGCAGGAGGAGGTTAAGCCATGGCTGGAAGGAGGAGAAGCAGTGTCCCTGCTGTGTTCATCGCTACACTGCTGGCTGTGATTCTGCTGCCTGGTGAGTACTCAGCGGGGGTCTCTCAGTCCAGCACCACACAACAGGGTCAGAGTGGAACATATCTGTCAGTTCTAATTACCTATGGCTTTATGGTTAACTAAAACGTTCTAATCCATGTCATCACCGGCAGTTGAAGACAAACTCAGATTCTTTACTCTGGTAAAAGTAGAAATAGTAAGCAGTAAATGTACTATATAACAAAGGAAAAGGGTTGAAAACGTTATGAGAGTAAGTAAGGCCCTTTGAGTTAAAGAGTTCAAGCTAATTTTATTTATTTGGTAGATGCAGAATCATTTTCAGTTGATAGATTTACTAGTTTAATTGTAAAAAAATTTTTAAAAATGTGTTAATGTTTTGTATCCTAATCTGAAGGGGGCTACAACTGTTAAATGAATGTGGTGGAGTAAACAGAGTCTTTTCTTAAAGTATTCAGTCCACTTTTTGAGTACATATTTAAATTATTCAAGATTAACAATGACTATATTAGAATGCATAAAAACAGAAAGACGTTGCTAACATTTCAAAGTACGGTATGCACCCCTATGGCTGGGTTTAAATATGACAAGCCTATGATGCACTGAGGAAAAATACCAGCTATTATCTCTTAGCATTTAAATAGACACAGCACTAATTGGTCCTAATGTTCTACTTTTTCTTAAAGACAACACAACCAAAATGTGATTAAATCCCCAAATAATAGGTATTTCATTGTAATGGCAATAAAAGATGAGCTTATGTGTTAAAAGCTCCATTTAGTGTAATATGCAACTACAAAGCATTGGTGATAAAGTATTGTGAGTGAGAAATGACCTACTAACGAGTGCAGTATTTCACATTATACTAAATGATCAAATGGTTAGTGATAATCAAGATTCTGAAGCAAATATTCATACAGCAGTATCTATCTCCTTTGGAGTCCAAGAAACAGTTACACAAGTACACATACAAATATTTTCTCAGTAAAGGAGTTTTGTGTTTGTTAAAAGTTGGAGCCAGTGTTTGAAGAAGTGTTTAGATCTTTTTCTAGGGAAGTTTTCATTTCCCTTCATTGAAAGTTCAAATTATCAGCATTATGTTGATAAATGTAAGCAAAACAATGACATTGATGGGTTGGATGGTTAACTCTGTAAAAATGCATCATATGTTATAAGCAGATGTTTATTTTATGTAAGACTTTTTCTTAAGGAAACAAAAGCTGTATAAGCATTCTCACGTACTGAACCCGAGTTCTGTGGTTCTTAATTACCTTTTGTGTCACTGGTTTAATGTCATGATCCACAAAATATTTTTGCTTAATATTCATGTTTTACCTCCTGTCTGTATATTAGTTTGCTGTGTGACCTTGTTTCCGTTAAAACTCTTAATAAACCAATTTGACTAAAATATTTAAATGATAGGTTTCAAGGATAAGTTTGAACCGCATACATAGGGGTTGCCCTCATCGCCACGCAACTGTGCTTAAAGTGTATTTGGTGGCTCTCTAACATAGCCCGTGGAGCTCATATATCATTTATAATGTTTTAACATGAAAACAGGTTGCTCCTGCACCACCTGTTTTAACTTTGCAATTCATCATTGGCATATACACAGGGCCGAGTATCAGCACCGCTTTGAAAAACGTTTTTTTTTTTTAAACTGCAGTGTGATTGTTAAAAACAGAGTAGGAGGAGATGTTTCTTTCAACGTTCCTGGTCCTGTAAAAAGATTAGTACCTGTCAGCATCTCCTCCTCCTCTGCCCTCTTAAAGCTCGGCCGTTTCCAGATGTGCCAGCCACTTTTTTACAGGCTCGTAAAAAAATACAGCGGATACACTGAGACCGCATCATTTAGCCCACCCTCCTCCACATCCCTCCATCACCTACGGGTTACCTTAACGTCTTTTCTATTTTTAATGCCGTTATTCTTAGTAGATCCATACCTCTATTCGTTGCCCTTTGTGTGTGAGCTTACGCGCTACAGTGCATCTTTCGGATTACTACCATTAAAGCTTATCAAAACCTTTCTTTAAACAGGAGATTCATGTTTCTCTGCCTCCAACATGCCTCAAAATTATCCCCTCTGGAGCTTTCTTTTGAAACCTGTCATCTGTTCCTCTTTCTCCTTCCTTCTGTAAGGAATTAACACCTTTGCCCCGTGGAGATGAAAGAAACCTGGCGCAGAGCTGAATTAACGTTTCCTTCAGCTGCATGTGGTCGTACACATATATGTGCACACACTGGTCTTTAAAAGCACAGCGTGAGGTTTGATGTTACAGGCTCACCTATAAAATCTACAAAGACCTTCAGTCGCAGCGCTTCAGGCACAGCCAATTGCCCCTGCCCTATTTAATGAATAATATCTGCCTGTTGAGTGTTGTGAGTGTTTGAAGTTCAATGTCATAAATCAAATATTGTGTATTGCAGAACGGTCAGCTTAACCTTGACTTCAGCATTTTTTTGATTTGACATGTGTTTTTGCTTTTCTCTGTTTTGTAGCATTCTTGTCTGCTGGACCAATTGGGAAAAAGACTAAACGAGATGGTAAACAACGTTTTTTTTTTTTCTTAGCACACTTGGCGACTCTAAGATCTTGAAAGTAAACTTTTTTCCATTAAAGTACTTTCTGATTTAAGAGCAACATCCACATTTTTCACTGCCCCTCACTTCGACTCAGTGGGAATATCTGTTGTGATATAGTACAGTAATGATGTCTTCAGTTGATGTCTATATAATAACTTTGGGGCCTGGAAAATCTTTCAACAAACTTTGAAATTCACTTGAAAGTCCTTGATTGATGTCATTAGAGCCTTCCCTTTCTTTCTGCCTTCAGCTGGAGAAAGTATCCAGGAGGTGTCGGCTGCTGCAGAGTTACACAGGAAGCTGATCCGCAACCGCAGGAACATCAGCTGGTACAAAGAGAACTCTGACTACTGGGGCTGGTACAAGTACTTCACCGAAAATGGCAACCAGGAGGCTGTAAGTACAAACACATCCCAAACAAATTGATGTAAACTAGGGAGTCCACCCTAGTTTGAAACAAAAACTCAATCCAGTAAAAGATGTCTGTCTAAGGCGGATATAGTTTCCCCATTCAGAGATGTTACAATGCATTTTGATAATTAATGCATCTTTTTATATTTGAGCCAGATAACTAAAGATTGATAGGTGGAAGCATTCCTTCTGCATAATCCATGTCCACTCTTCATCTTTATTAAAATTCAAGTTTGAAGCAGCTGCTGTGATTGTTGCCCCATGTAAGCCTTTAATGGATTTTTAATACTGAACATAATTTAGGCTATCATCTCAACGTTTTTGCTGTTTTGTATGTTTACAAACCACACATGCATCACCTGAATTATCTCCAACCCCCCTCAGGTTCAGGAGATGGACCGCATCTACCTGGCCTACCTCCAGAACAAGAACCGCGCTGAGGCACGTCGCTCCCACAAGGCGTACTTGCGCCACCTTGGAGACGTCTACAAGTCCTGCTCCGATTCTGATGACCCTAACTGCGTGACTTCCTACACCAGTAGACCCAAACCTAAGCCAGAGGCCCCCAAACCTGCCCCTGTGAAAACCTGTGACCCCACCAAGGATGCTTACTGCCTGTATGCTGCTTTGGTCCAGGGCAAAAGCCCCTACCTGCCCCTGGTGCTCCCAGCTAACCCAGCAGCAGCCCCTGCCCCAGTGAAGGCCCCCGCCCCAATGTATGTCCGCTCTGCTGCTGCAGCAAAGGACCCTCAGTCAGGGTATTACTACTACGCTCCATCCGCCGTGCCTTTCCTTACCAAGGTATGTTTTTCTAGACATTTTAACTATTTTAATATATTAGTAAGTAATTAGTAGATTCTGTAATTGACCTGTGTTAAACCTGTACCAAAAAGGTCCTACCTTAAAGGTCTCCTATCATGCAAAATTCACTTTTTTCTGTATTATACTGTATACGTAAATATGTGTCAGGGAACTCACAAAGTGTCAGAAAACAAAACCCTCTCTCTTTTCCTCCGTACCCAAATATCTAAAAACGGCGGTACAACGGAGCTGATCCAGATTTGCTGCAGATATGAAGTAATATCGGATTTTTTTTTTTAAAGCTTTAGACCTGTAGATGGTGCTGTTCTCACAGAATCAGCCCATGAAAAGACAGTGTAAGATTGAGCGAAATGAGGAATGGCTAAAATGCATGATCTGTTTGGTATTTTGAAAAATAAAAAGTATAAATATCTATATAATGTAATATCTTATATAGGTATGGTCCTACACAATATTATTCAAATATAGCATGATAGGTCCACTTTAAATAAAGGTTGTGCCCACTCCTTTATATGTTTAGACAGTCAGGATATAGATACTCCAAATAGCCAAACAAACGATAGTGCTCTGAAATGAAGATTCTGGGTAATGAGTGTTTATACTTTTGGTACTTGATACATATTTTGAGATCAATATTCTACTAAGAACACATTTCTACATTGTGTATTTGCCACTTTAACTGAGTTATCAGTTATCAGTTATCACATTATCTGAGTAATTGTTTATAGTCAGTGAGTTATTGATAGGTGAGGCTGCAGCATGAAATTGTATTATTGTTGATATCATCCTGCCCCTCCTCCACTCTTGTACAACATGTAATGTGCTGGAGACTAAACCCACTTTCGTCCTGAATTTTACTGTTGTCTTGTTCAATTTGTGTAGCCCTCTGAATTACCGTAAACTTGCTTGGACACAATTCCACTGCTTTTGAAGACATATGTGTACATTATTGATGTATCCTTTCTGACTAACGGTTCTGGTTATTGTCTGTGATCCTAGGCTTCCTCCTTTCTGACTTATATCTTCTTTTCTCTAAAGGACAATGTGTCTCAATCAAATTACCTTTCGGATATTATCTGAAAATGCACGAGTGCAGTTTATCTTCAAAATGTAAAAAAGTGCCCACAGACAGACAAAAAGTACTGCTTGGTCTTTTTTTTCAGATTAGATTGATACAACTTTAATTCCACTGGACTTCTTCAGTTGCTGACACTGACAGAGAAAACTATTAGATATGTTAAAACATGATTGACCTAAGGTTACTCACTGTTTTATTCTAGTGTCCCAAGTATTACGTCTGTCCAAGTAAATGTGCCAACCTTTTGTGACCTTAAACGATCAAATTAATCCATTAACTTGTTAGCCATTTGTAATTCTAAAACACATTAACAACACTAACCAGGCTTGTCAGATGGAAAACTGTGTGATACTGTACTATTCAAAGTTTCTGCAAGATGCTTTTCCTATATCATTTTTCATTTGTGTATAAAGTATTTCACAGCACCTAGTTCTGCTTAATGTTATAATGACACAGTAAGTGCCAATCCAAACCAATAAGTGTGGATGGGGTGTGGGTTATCAAGCCATCCAACAACGAGTCTGCATCAGTCCTGTGTTGGGGTCCAATTGTCCAAAAATCCGCTCCTGCGGCCGCAAGGTATTGTGTGACAGCATGTTCTCTTTTCCTTTCGTAAAGGTTAGTCCAGTGTTTCCTAAACTAAAGGAGATTTAAAGGAAGTTTTGAAGTTCCTTTCCTATCATAGAGAATTGGAAGAGCTATCATCATGGCTGCCACTGAGGTACTTCCGGGTCATTTCACTCCATTAGAAACCTTCCTAAGCTTAACTGACAATTCCCGTGTCTAGTCTAGAAAACGCTAAACGTATGAATTTGATCATAACGTTTTGTATATGCATTCGGTGGACTTCGAATCAGGGGGTAGCAAGTTCGAGTCCCACTGCAGTCAGCATGTCGTTGTCTTCCCTGGGCAAGACACTTCACCCCAAATTGCTCCTGTGGGGATTGCCCACAGTACTGAATAGTCGCTTTGGATAAAAGCGTGTAACAAATGACATGTAATGTAATTTAGATGTAATGTATACAGTGACTGCAGCATAAACCAAGTAGCTTATTGTGACGGCCCTGGGGCCTGTGAGTGTGCAGGTGTGTTGCAGGTCCTGGGTTGGGGTGGAGCTGAAAAGGCCAATCAGCGTGATCGGGGACACCTGGCCGGAGCCGAGGTGCTATTTAAGCCCAGCTGCCACACATCAGATTAATTATTTTTTAGTCTTAAGACATGTTGATTTGAAACGGTTGTTATGTAAAGTTACGGAGTTTCCTGTTTCTGCCGGAGAGTTGGGAGTTGGTCCCAAAGCTTGCTGCTGTATTTACACTCTCCACCTGAAAGAAGGGAGCCTCGTTCAGCTGTGAGTGTGACTATAGAGTTTCACTCTAACGGAGTGGGTATGGGGCAGTTTGGAATTGGGCCAACATTTCAGAGACCTTGAATCTAAAGTCCCAAACAGCAGATAGACAAGAGGTTAACCTGGGCCAAAGAAAAAATTAGATACCAATCTTCCCAAGAAGAAGCAGCAATCTGTGATTTAGGTCGACCGAAAATTCCATTAAAATAGACCAAATGTATGAAAGGTTGGACCATCAGTGGTGGTCTGGCCATCTGGCATACGTGACCTTTTCCCAGTGGAGAGACGTGCCTTTTGGGCCAACACAACTGTCTTTGTTTGTTGATTATCTGATTGTCAGAGAGATAAGATAGCTCTTATTTCACACCTGACTGGCCTAAACACATCTTTTAACCTCGCCCACTTTTGATCTCATTAAACAGCACATCTCATCTGTAACAATTCCAAAATAGATAAGACAAAACCCAAGGGAGACAGCACAGAGTAATAGCTTGTAGAAAACAGACAGGCCCTCCAGGCAGAATGACCTTTTGCATCTGAGGCTAAAGCATTTAAGCGACTTGCAGCTCAGAAAAAAAACATAGTCACTTGTTATCTTGCTTGATGAAAACAGGCAAGTGTGAGATACTATGGTTAAGGGCATTGGCTTCGACAGGTCATTTTGCTGAAAGGTAAGCTAAGAATGGACAAAAAGCTTGGTATGGGTTAATTTTCAATATCTTAATGACATATGCCATCCTAATTAAAAGGTTGATATAGAGATGTAGGTGGTGAGGAAATAACTAGTATAAAGGAAAACGTTGCATGACAAAATAAAAGCACCATCTTTAACAGCTGTATTTGGAAACTCCTGCCCAACAAAAGAAAAGAAAAAAGAAGACAGCATGACACCAACTCCATCCATTTTGTGTGATAGACAAAAAAGATTGTCACTCTAAATACATCAGATACCAGTCTACCTCCAGCTGCTGACAAAGTCATACCCCCTGCACAGCTAGGAACACACACACGCGCACACACACACACACACACACACACACACACACACACACACACACACACACACACACACACACACACAGGCACGCACGCACACACACGGCAAGTCAGGACCCCCTCTTGTGGCTGCAGATGTAAAAAAGATTACAAAATCTGTGTTTGTAATACCACCCTAATAATCCTAATTTACCTCACTTCCTTGCTCACTAAATGTATTTTTTGAATACTAGGTTGTATTTTATATTTAATAGGATTAAACCAGAAACATTTTCATGATTATCAACATTCTGATCATCTAACTCTAATTCCACCCATTATAGATTCTATTGTTCGTTGATATCTGGCAGGAAGCTGGCATTCTTTAGTTTTCTCTGCTGTTTAAGAGACAAGGTTTTAGGTAATGTTGGTAGCAGACGTATGCCTTAAAGTTCTCACCAGCCACACTAACCCATTGCTGTACTGACAGTGTTGTTTTCTCTTTATTGGATTTCTTGTTTAGCCTACTAAGTGCAACGAGATGGATGGCAACTTAACTTATTAACTGATTACAACGATACAAATCAAAATATCACTGTACAAAAAAGGCAGACAAAATTGATCACAGGCTAAATTGTAATTTGTTGTCTTCATTCCAGGACTGGAAATTGTGTAAGAGTTATTGGCAAGATATCTAATTGACAAAATGGAATGTTGCAACACCATCTCTCATTTGTTTGACATTTCAAGGGGGTTAAATGGGTTACGGTTACTACACAATGCTAATAAAAGTCACATGTTGTACTTTATATACTGTACCCTGATTATTGTTGAAGAGAAACAAAAGTATACAATACTTATATACTGCAGAGGATAAGAAATATAACTTTTTTCTGTATACTTATGAAGAACATTGTTGAGTTTTCATTTTCAAACTTTTCATAATTGAATTCCTGCCTAACCCAACACCTTCCTGTTACTTGGAGGGTTAATGCTGGGAAGAATGACACTCACCATGAATGAGTACAGTACAGTACAGTACAATAACCTCAAATTGTTTCTACTGCATTTACAATCAGTCTGGAGAGGACAGAGGAACACTGAGTCAGCAGATTCATTCAGGCTATTAAAATCCTCAGGATTACAGTAAAGAAGAATCCACAATATTCATAGGAGGGGATTTCAGGGATACTTTAACCTCTGGAAAACCTCCACTCCACATACCCTGATTTCTTGACAGCCTTCTAAAAACCCAGGGGGAAAGGTTTGAAATGTTGTTTATAAATATGGAATAAAAAAGAATCTTTGCCACTTTTCGAATAAATGCAAATAGAAACAACATCATTATTCAGAAACTGTCTGATCCATGTCTGTGGTCTGCCTCTGTGTCATGCTGGCCCAATAGCAACAGGTGGGACATTTATTAAAAGCGCTAATGAGTAATTTCAGCTACAGCATTAGTCATATGTAGATATCTACAGTGTAGTTATGACAATGAAATGCCTAGGTCACAGGCTCCTCCAACAGTGCAACACAATAAAACAGATAATAGTGCAAGTAAATAAAATAAAATACAATGTAATGAAGAATCGTCTATACTGTATACAAGTAATTTGAATATTGATATACGTATATTAGTTGCAAACAGATGAATGTTATGGATGTTCCATGGATGGTAACCAAGAAAAGGAGAAAGGAGTGAACGTATAAATGTGCGTTCATGTTTTCCAAATCCAGCGAAAAAAGCCCTTGTGTTTGATTTGGTTCCTGAAGAGGGATGACCCCCACTCGAGACTGTGCCTCAACACATCCTGTGTAGACACTGATAGAGAAGCACAACTGATGCTGCTCGGCTAAAACACTTTTGCTATGCAGGTAACTGATATTACACAGTGGTGCAACTGTCGTCTGTTTGGATTGATCTTGGGATCTGAGTCAGTTCTGTTCTGTTCCCTAAGTGGACTTATCAAAATACGACCTAACCCTCTATCCAGCACTACTTCACACATTTTCCAAAAGAATAAAGGGAACGTCTCACAGAACACACTCCTTTTGTTTGGTTTTTCTTGCTCAATGAGAAAACTGTTTGAACAAAGGCAACTGAGAGAATGAGACAGAAAAAGAGCTGGGATGGTGTCGTCTTATCATTGTAAAGCAGGGTTGCCTAGAGACAAAACCCATGAACTAATTTCATACTACATTTAAATGAAAATTACTATTAATTTCTCAAAGGTATGTTGAATACAATTATAAAATCCTCTTGCAGAAATTATTATGTAAATGTAATTTGGTTCCTGTTCTATGTACACGCATGGTTTACCTCATTGTTTGGACTTGAAAAAACAAACCAAGAAAAAGTTTAAAGTACACGTACACACGCACGCACGCACGCACGCACGCACACACACACACACACTAGTCCCTATTCAAAAGTCCCCACTCCTTTTGTTTCGTCCTCGTCATTGAAGAACTTGGTGATTAGATGTTGTGTGTTGTTTGAGGGCCACGGATCTCTGAGCTGAGCATCGCGTGCGGTCGCCTGGCGACAGGTTGTCATGGCAACCTTGGCGTGATAGATGTCCCCGCATCCTGATGTCGTCTTGGCGATGCTCTGGTGTTTGTCTTGCTATCCTTCGCCTGAAGCACTCATTCATCATCCGTCTGCTCAGAGGGGGCACATCCCTTGCTATCAGCGGGTCTGATTAAGTATTATTCACTTACTCACTGCCAGACTCAGCTTGGGTTGTTGGCTTCTAACTCTTTCAAGTCCTATTTTGTATTAACTGTTTTCCAAACTTGCTTCCGTCTAGCAGTGAACTGGAGTAGAATTAGCTCTGCCGTCATCTCTATTTGTCCCAGATTCAACAATTAATTTAAGCTAAGTAATGGAATGCTGTAAAAAGGGCCAAGAAGATTTGCGTGACAAAGTCCATTCTATTCATATATGTTTGAATATGTTTGAATGTTTCTCTGAATTATGTTGGTGTGCACTTTCAAACTTTTCATCTTTCGCCATGAAGATTTGCCATCTGGAGCCACAATGCCTCCAACAGCTGTTTAATACAGCAACAGATTGCTCCCCCGGCCCTCTCTCCTGAGGCCCTTCACATTGACTGTTATTTAAACATTGAGATAAGAGGGGAAATTAGAGCATCAGTGTTCATATGTGCAGCATTCTGAAATTAATCAAACCCTTTTTATGAAATAGCCTATTGCCCTATATTTGGTTTTATCTCCATTTGATATGGTGATCCATAATTAAAACTGACAATATATTTAAACTTTGGTCCAGGGGATTCTCTGAAATACTTTTTGGGGTTTTGGCACAGAGTTTAACTGAGTTTTACCAACTGCAAACTATTCTTTGACCAATCAGTGAACTGGAAAGTTTGTAGCTGTTACACTTGAATACAAGTCTACTCTGCTGATTTTTTTTATATAGCTTTCTTCCTTTTATCAACTTAACCACAAGACAATACAGAATAGTTATTTTAGGCGCCTGTAACAATAGAACATCCCGAAATACTTTGGGAGCTTATGTTGTGTAAAGTCTATACTTTCAATTGGTCATTGTTAACTTACACCTACAGTATAGGAATGATTTACACACTGTGTTGCTTTACACATTTGTTTTAAAGGTTGTCTGATGTCAGGTTCATTACAACATGCATCTCCCGTTCTCCATGCTCTCTTAAACGTCTCTGTTTGCAGTCAGCCATTCTTGTTTATGCTGGCGTTGCTGAAAAAAAGCAGTGATGTAAACAATAAAGTCAAGATTTGGCTCCAACAGGGCTCTGGTAATTGGAAAAGCAAACTAGCTCAAAGTTGGTTCAACATTGTGATTTCTTGAAGAGAGACCACAAGCTGTACGGGTCAACAATAACACCTCAAACACCCTCATACTGAGTACGGGGGCCCCTCAAGGATGTGTGGTCAGCCCCCTTCTCTTCACTCTGCTGACCCACGACTGCAAACCCATCTTCAGCACCAACCACATCGTGAAGTTTGCAGACGACACTACTGTGGATCAGCAACAACGATGAGACTAACTACAGGAAGTAAGTGAACCAGCTGGCCCTGTGGTGCCAAAATAACAACCTCTTCCTCAACCTGGAGAAAACAAAGGAGATAGTTGTTGACTTCAGGAGAATCCACCGTCGACCCCCTCTCCCCCTGACCATCAACGGTGCTGCTGTGACGCAGGTGACCAGCACCAAATTCCTTGGGGTGACCATCACTGATGACCTCACCTGGAAAATCAACACCACCGCACTAGCGAGGAAAGCCCAGCAGCGCCTGTACTTCATCCGGAAGCTCAAGCGAGCCGGAGCATCACCCCCCATCGTGCTGTACTTTTATCGAGGCGCCACCGAGAGCTTCCTCAGCTGCGTGTATTCACGCGCGACGGGTGGTGTCGGGTCGGGAAGGCTGGCAACACCGCCGACCGGCAGAGAGCCGTGCGCTGCATACTGAAGCTCTGGTCCCAGGAGGGATCCATCGGTGCCTCGTCTCCCGTCACGACAGGAACAAGAGTATACAATCACCCGCCGTCGCCCGCGAAAGCCTCGACATGTGGGGTGACTCACCACCGCCCTGCCAACCGCCTCTTCAGGCCGTCGTCTTCGAGGAGAAGGTTCCTCAGTGCAGAGCGGTCGGGGGCACCGTCATGGCTGGGAGTTCAGGCTTCGTCTCGCACTCAGGGGCGGTCAGGAGGGCGGACTCGTGCGCCCGTCCTCGCTAGCGCTCCCGTCTCGCGCCCCCTCTGACAGCTGTGCCCCTCGCCCCTCTGGCTCGGCGCTCGCGCTGGGAGCGCGCCACCGGCCTCGCGACTTTCTCCGGCGCGCCGGGAGAAAGGGTGCGCGACTGGCTGAACCCGCCGTCGCCCGTGTGTAGGCGTCAAGTGTAGGTGGGAGAACCAGAGAGTGGTGTATGTGTCGAGAAACCTAGGCCCCGTGGGTTGTCTGCGTTCCTCTCTCTCTGCTCTCTCTCACACCACACGACCCACTACACCACACAGCACACAGCACACAACACACAGGCGCACGAGCACACGAGCACACATTAGATTGGCAATGAGTGATTGTGCACGTGGAGAGCAGGCATATTGTCAGGAGAAGAGGAGGAGATGGACAGTGTCGTCGTTATTTTGGAAAAATGTGTGTTTCTTTGAGCCGTATGTTACCTCATGAACGTAAATAAATACTCGCTTACATTGAGGGCAGGCAGTGTATTTGGATGGGAAGAGATAGGGGTGTTGGTGTGAATGTAGGTTAGGCGAGCGCGGCACGTGAATGTTCGCTGCGTCATGAGCTCAGGAACTCCCTCCGCATGGAGCTCAGCGGCCGTGGGCCGGGGAGATCGGATTGGCTCACAGGAGGGCTGACCCGTAGCGCTGCCGGTTGATGAGGCAAATGGCCGTGGAGAAGTTGAAGAGAGATGGCTTCAGCTGTTAATACGTTTGGCAAAAGGCTGATACATTTTTATTATTGAGAATTATTATGTCGGGTAGTGGTCAGGATGCGGCGAGTTGGTCAGGTTTGTGTTTTGTAGTCTGTTAGGTGGCTCCGTGGTAGTGTATGTCGTTGTCCTGGTTTCCCTGTGGTTTTCCTGCTGTCGTAGTTCCCCTGTGTGTCCTAGTTGTCTGTTGTGTTCGTGGCCCTGGTTTCTCCTCCCCTGCCCGGCTGTTGTGCTTGTGGTTCCCCGCCCTGTATTTAGTCGGGCTCTGTCCTGGTGGCAGTTTGTTCTCTGGTTGTTGGTGACTGAGTTCACCGGTGAGTGTTCTGTTTTTTATGCCTTGAAATGAGAGAGGGTGGTGAGTCAGAGTTAGCTGCTTGGGGCGCCTGCTTTTGGTCACGTCAGACGCGGAGAGCAAGTAGGGGGTGAAGTGGGGGCCCAAACGTGTGTTGATTTTTTATTGGGTTTTATGTATTTGTTGTAGTTATTGGAGTTAATGAGTATGAGGTATAGTGTGTAAAGTGAGGTTGAGTGTATATTTGTAGTGTTTCAGTTTGGAGATTGAGGACTTAAGTGTCAGGTAATCAGACTGGTTAAAAAAGTACTATGTCAAATGAACGTAGTTTATTGTTTTGGAAGTTCAAGAAATGAGGCAGAATGATTATGGAAGTGAGTCGTATTTAATAAGTCGGATAGTCAAGGATTGAACCAAGAAGGGGGGCGTGATTATGAATTGGCTAATCGAGCTAGCCGCTAGCGATGGTCCCAGGAGCAGCGGCGTGTTGAGAGACTTTGAAGATTCTTGATTCAGTCGGCCGTAGGGAATATTATGAAGGTTTTTCTAGGCATTTTGAATCCCGTCATTATTGCAACAGACAGTAAATGATCATAGCAATGGGTAAGAATAAACATGTTGTTAGAGCNNNNCACACACACCCGCACACGCACACGCATACGCACACGCATACACACACACACACACACACACACACACACACACACACACACACACACACACACACACACACACACACACACACACACACACACACACACACACACTCTCAAACCAACCTTCCTCATCCAGCACCAGTCACTTTTCTGCCATCTCCGCTGAACACTTTAACATATTATTAACATTTTAAACTGTATACCCCGATTATCTAGGCCCTTTTTTTTATGTATATATGTCACACTGTAGGACCTCGAGACATGATATTTCGACATTTCTGGATGTACAACATGTAGAATTAACTCATGTGCTAAGCCCCAATATTTGGACAACTTTTGGACCGGTTGCTTGAAACATGAATAAATGAACAGTATGAATGTAGCGTGACGGTACTGGTTGTTTGTCAGTCAGTGGAAATGCATGAATTACTTGGGAAAAGGCAAACAGCTCCCCGTCAAGTGCTCTACACAAACACAAGCTTATAATGAGCTCCAGAGAAGCACTGGAGGTAGGAATTGATAGATGCAAAGAAGGAGGGTTGAAGGATTCAGTAGACTTTACAGTGTCTACCTTTCCATTGGGTGAAGACTGGAGGGTCTAAACATGTTGTGGGTGGAGGAGTGTCGGGGGTGTTTGTGTATATACCTGAATACTTGTATACCTGAATACTAAGGGAGCCTCAGCTATTTTCACGTTATCCACTCACATCACTTAATATATCGTATAACGTGCTCTGTACAATACCCAGCATCAAAGGTGGCCATGGGGGGATGTATAGGCTGATTTGATGTAAACCAATGTGAAGAAAAGAAACAGAATTGGTGTGAATGTGAGATGGACGTAACATAACTGCCTTTAGTAAGCACAGGTCTCTGAAGTGTGTGTGTGTGTGTGTGTGTGTGTGTGTGTGTGTGTGTGTGTGTGTGTGTGTGTGTGTGTGTGTGTGTGTGTGTGTGACTCTGGTCACTGAGTGAAACACAGAAGTCTTTTTTTGTCGTGTGTATTTTACATAACAATTCATGTTTAATATTCAAACTAGGCAGTGTGTTTGCAATAACATAACACATGTACATTTTTTTAATTGTAAATTGTATTGAATGTATAAAAAAGCATCAAAATAGATGTTTATGTTTAAAAAAAAACGTAACGTGGGGCATCTCCCTACAGTCTAGGTCCAATGTGTATGTTGTTTCCTGTCTAATATATTGCTATGCTGGTATGAAACATATTGGCACTGCACCAAAAAGGAGAAATTTCACTTCTTAGTCTGCATCTCTGGTGTGACGCTTTATACATTTTCAAACAATATTCCAAGCAAAAAGAGGGAAGGAAGAATCTTCTACAATCTACTGTAAGCTACGTAAGAAGAGGCACAATTAGTCTGACAATTTTACCCGCAGGATACATCACACTCCAGCTGAGTTTGGCTTGCCTTAACTTGTTCATTGTCTGCTCGTTTGACAAGATGTTCACAGCTGGGTAGCTGTCTAACCACATGCTCACTTAATTGTTGATTTCTGGCTCCCTGGCTGGGGTGGAGTAATCATTTTGGACACTAACAGTGGTGGTGTAATGATGTTACAGTGATTCTGCAGCTCTAAAACCTTTATTATGATCTGCAGATCTGGTCCATTTCATTCAGTTGTGAAGCTGACTTTAATTTATTCAATCTATCCATCTATCTTTACTCAGGCTGTAGACCTACTTGCTTAATTCTTTACTCTGCTTGTTTGAATTCTTTGCCACTGAAAACGTGCATTGGTCTCATGTCAAGCATAATGACATCTGGAGGATCTTCAACGCAGTATAGTGGGTGCGCCTACGGAGAGAAATGGCCACAAATTCAAGTTAAACATGCATTACGCTAATATTAGTTGATTTTAATTAGCTTCCCTTTCCCTGTGACCATAAAAACACTTAAGCCCAAAGCGCATATGACAGCTCCCGAACGAAGTCTGAGGGGTTTGAGGGCACTTTTTATTTATTTATTTTTTCCACTAAAAGACTAATGCTTTTGTTTTTTAGCCAACTCACATTTGGCTGGAAAATCAGTGCTCTTCTTGTGTTTTCAATCCGCCCGTACAAAAGGCCCACCGAAAAGGAGGAAACATGAGAAGAAACATTTAATCCGTAGCTAGGCCACACACCCTTTACATGTGTTTGTAGGCTTGTAGAAAGCATATTAGTTCATTCTCACAGTTAAGTTTCAGTTGGTGTTCGTCTTTGACCATCAATAAGTGATTTGTTGACTATTTAAATAGACGTTTTCTGTTAGTAATTTGTAAAGTTCAGTTATAGGCTTACCAACTGTTCATTTAGTTTAGAAGTACGTTTATTTTGAGTGGTAGTCTAGTCTTTATCTGTGTAAGAGTAGCTGCACTTTCAATTGTAGAGAATTGTTATATTTTATTTTTGTTAATGCTGATGCTTGTTTCTTTCCTTTGGAACCCACATATTTCAACAATAATACTGTAATGCCTATCCATATCCAGTTAATTAATAAACCTCTAAAGGAAAACCCTGCCTCCTGTGTCCTGACAGACCTAATTGTTTTCGTTCCTTATCAGCAAGAGCTTCATTTCCATTTATTGTCCTACACGACGGATAGTGAAAATAATATAGCAACCAGCAGAGAGGAAACTAGTCTCCCTGTCTCACTATCTGTACACCCAAAATGCACCGTGCAGTGCCCAAGATACATGGAGGATAATTTTACTGAATATGAAGGTGAACATAGTGTAGAGCAGATGCACAGGCATAAAGAGGAGAGGGAACGGCTGAGTCCTGCCAGAAGCACATCCTCCATGCTTCCAATGCAGAATATGCCTGAAGAAATCGTTCAACAAGCTTTAGAGTCGGCTGGGCAGACAGCTGAGACAGCCAGAAGGCAAACAGAGCTTATGGAGTTCGTACATGCAGCATGATTCACCTCGGCCCTCAACTTAATCCGATATCATCACGACATCAGACAATAGTTAACCAATTTTACCCAGAGAAAGTAGGTGAGTCGCATCTTTACCCAGCTCGTGCCCCTCGCCTTTCCAGAATTCAAGCTGCACTTAACTCA